ACAAACAAACAAACAGGAGTGCCCAGGTTAGCCCTTTCCACACAGAAAAAGAGAAGGGCAAAGGTTAGCCCAGAGACACCTCGAGGAAAAGGACAGAGCACAGGTTAGCCCTCTTCACCTATTAAGACCAGGTGGTCCCTTCTTCCCGCACCTGCCCTTAAAAAGAAAAACCTGCTTAACCCTTGCAACACAAGAAAAAGGGAAGAAGCTAGTTTAGGCCAAAGACCAACAGCTGGGAAAAGGGTCAAGCCTGTTTGGTCTTCCTCACAGGCAAACAGAACAGAACAAAACAGAACAGGCAGGCCAAGGCTAGCCCCCGCACCCCAAGGCAGGCCATAGAGAGGGCTCAGGCTAGCCCTTCCCCATCAGGTTTTGGCAGGGCGGGTGTCAGCCTCCTGGACAGTGAGCTGGGAAAGCAGGGGCCTCGCCTGCCCACTAGGCAGAGGCAGCTGGAGTGCACATACCGGAGTGCAAATGCTGTTCAGACAAAGTCCAGAGGTAGAGAAGGTCCACTGCTTCCTTCACTTGTTTTCCTGACAAGCTTCTGTCATTCTGGAAGCCCCTAACCCTATCCCTGAGCTGAGCAAGTGGAGAAGACCCTAAAGAAGACAGTTGGACAAAGAGAGAGACATGGAGACGGCAGACACGCAGAACATACAGAAATAAACAGAGTCCCAGTGGAGGCCCAGAGAGAGATGGGGGAGGCAGGACCCTGGCCCTCTGCCAGTTGCCCTGGGGTCTGAGCCTTCTGCGCCTGTGCCTGGACCAGCCCCGGGCTGGGGGTGGGAGGGCAGGGGTGGCAGGGAGGTGAGGCTGAGGGGTGGCGCTCAGCCTTTCAGAAGAAGCTGGAGCCCGCCTACCAGGTGAGCAAGGGCCACAGGATCCGGCTGACCGTGGAGCTGGCAGACCCGGATGCTGAGGTCAAATGGCTTAAGAATGGACAGGAGATCCAGATGAGTGGCAGGTGCGGCCAGGGGGCGGAGCAGGTTCTGGGGGGGCTGGGGGCGTGGGGAGGGGCCTCAGAGGAGAGGGCTGCTCCCAGCCCTGCTCTCTCTCCACCGGTTTTCTCTGCCTTTGTCTCTCGGTACCTGTCTCCATCTCCCCCTATTTCTCTCTCCCTGGGTCTAATTTCCCATCTTTCTGTTTCTGCCCATCTCTCTTCCTCGCTCTTCTCCTCTCGGTCTCACGTCCTCCCATCGGGGATACTCCAATGGCCTCTTCTGTTCCGCAGCAAGTAAGGTCCAGCTCCTGGAAGGCCTGGGATCGGGGCGCGGGGGGTCCGTTTGATGGGGCACTAGGAGGTGACTCCATGGCTCTTCTGCCACTGCTCTGTGGCCCCTGCCCAGGTACATCTTCGAGTCCAATGGCGCCAAGCGCACCCTGACCATCAGCCAGTGCGCGCTGGCGGATGACGCGGCCTACCAGTGCGTGGTGGGCGAGGACAAGTGCAGCACCGAGCTCTTTGTCAAAGGTGGGCTGGGGACCCCGGGATGGGAGGGCCACAGAGGGGCCTGTCCATCACACGCTCCGTGCCGTGGCAGAGCCCCCAGTGCTGATCACGCGGCCCCTGGAGGACCAGCTGGTGATGGTGGGTCAGCGAGTGGAGTTTGAGTGCGAAGTCTCTGAGGAGGGGGCTCAGGTCAAATGGTGAGTGCTGGGACATGGGGACATGGGACAGGGCTGGGAGGCCTGGGGGCAGCCCCAGAGGAGGCCATAGCACTTGCTGCCCACCCGCCGGCCAGGCTGAAGGATGGGGTGGAACTGACCCGGGAGGAGACCTTCAAATACCGATTCAAGAAGGACGGCCAGAAACACCACTTGATCATCAACGAGGCGACGCTGGAGGACGCTGGGCATTACGCACTGCGCACCAGTGGGGGCCAGGCGCTGGCCGAGCTCATCGTGCAGGGTGAGGCCCGTGCGGACAGGAGAAGGAGCACACAAGGCCGCAGGGCCTTGGGCCTCCTCAGCTCCAGCCCCACCAGCCACGTATGGGAATCAGGCAAACCCAGGATCGAGGCCTGTGTGACCTGGGGCAAGTCGCTTTGATGTCCTGAGCCTCACCTTTCTAATCTGTAAAATAGGATGCTGTGTTGGCCACCTCAGAGGACATCACAGAATCAGGGGGCCCTGGTTAGCGTCACCCCCCACCCACACACACACACACACTTGAGGGTCCTTGTGTACCCTGCGCCATCATATGCACATGAGTCACACTCACACATGCACGCATGTGTTTTCACATGCCCACATGATCTCCACCGGGATTCACACCCACACCCACACCCACACCCACACCCTCCCTCCCCAGCTCACTGGCTCTGCCCTGCCCCCCAGAGAAAAAGCTGGAGGTGTACCAGAGCATCGCGGACTTGACCGTGGGTGCAAAGGACCAGGCCGTGTTCAAGTGTGAGGTGTCAGATGAGAACGTGCGGGGTGTGTGGCTGAAAAACGGGAAGGAGCTGGTGCCTGACAGCCGAATAAAAGTGTCCCACATTGGGCGGTGAGTGTGCAGGGCTTGGCCCCAATGCAGAAGGGGGACAGGCATATGGGATGGGCAGAGACTGAGACAGACAAACAGAGAGACAGACACACACACACACACAAAGAAAGACAGAGACAGAGACAGAAACAGAGAGAGACACAGAGACAGGGAGAAACAGAAAAAGAGAAACAGAGAGAGACAGAAATGGACAGAGAGGAACAAAAAGAGACAGACACACAGAGACTGAGTTAGAAAGAAAGAAAAATAAATATATAAGAGAGACAGAGACAGACAGAAAGCTATGGAGAGACAGAAGCATGCAGAGGAGAGTCCATCTGAGACAGAGAAGGAGCAGTGAGAGAGACAGACAGGCCTCAGAGCCCCCAGCCCCCTCCCCCTCACTGGTGACCAGGGCAGGGCAGGAAGCCACAGGAGGCAGGCTCTGGCTAGGGGCCCTTGCTCTCTCCCAGTCTCTTACTCACCCTGAGCATCTGGGCTGGCCCGTGCTGGGCCTAAGGCCGTGGAGGTTAATGAGACCAACCCCTGCCTAGTCTCCAAGGGCCCAGCCAAGGTGACACTTTTATACTCCTACCTCTGAAAACATGTGAGGAAGCTGGACAATTCAAAAATAAAGAAAGGACTTGAAACACTAGAACACCAGTGAGCTATGATGGGCCAAGGGCCCCCCGGCTAGGGCGTCCAGTGGGGCTAGGGGTGTGTGGCCCAATGGGGCCCTCTGAGCCACCGCTGTCCTGCAGGGTCCACAAACTGACCATTGACGACGTCACACCTGCAGACGAGGCTGACTACAGCTTTGTGCCTGAGGGCTTCGCCTGCAACCTGTCCGCCAAGCTCCACTTCATGGGTGAGCTGGTGCCCGGGGCGGGGTGGGGCCTCCGTTGCTGGGCCCTGCCTTTGCCCTGGTGTTACCTGCTCTTCCTTATCTTGCAGAGGTCAAGATTGACTTCGTGCCCAGGCAAGGTGAGTCTCAAGGCCCCTGTGCGCCACCTCTGCACTCATCCAACATGGCTCCCTCCCCTCACAGATGGAAGAGCAAAGATCTGGGAAAGGGACCCTGAAGCCCAGCGCTAGCTCTGCCAATTATAATCTCTCTGAGCCTCAGTTTCTTCATCTCTAAAATGGGGATCCTGATAGTGCCTCCTTCATGGGTGACAGGAAAGGTGAGAGGAGATGATGTGTGTGAGCTGTCAGGTGACAGCACATATGTAAGCTTTTACTGTTAAATCTTTTCCATTTTTAGAAGTATCTCTCCTACTTTTAGATTAAACTTTAGTCAGGCATTTCAGAATCCTAACTTCAGAGTAGTCCAGGCTGAGGCATGCTCTAGATCAGTGTTTTCCAAACTGGGTTCACTTAATACAAGATACTCCATTTAAAAAGGGTTCCATGGTACAATAAGTTTGGGAAACGCTGAACACTTGCCCCACATTTTACTAATTCAGAAGGTGCATTATTACCATGCCCAAGACTCTGAAAAATCCTGCGGTAAAGAAATGTGCTTAACTTTCTTTAGTCCAGTGTTTCCCTAAATTATTCGGCCTTGGGAGCTTCCCCCCTCTGCCCAGCAGGAAGTTCCCAGAAACAGTTTGAGAAACGTTACACTAGGTGACCTGATGTTACAAACCTCCCCAGGAACTTCTTGGGGTGACAGAATGTTCTAGAGCTTGATCAGGTGGTGGTTACACAGGTATATACATTTGTCAAAACTCATCAAGCTGTATGCTCAAATCTTGGCATTTCATTATATGTAAATTATACCTCAATAAAATTGATTAAAAAAAAAAACGGGCATGTGCTCCCTCCAGTTTCCCCCCATTTTATGGGCCTCAGGCCCTTCCCCTTTCTCTGATCTATGCCATCTCCCCGCATCAGAACCTCCCAAGATCCACCTGGACTGCCCAGGCCGCACATCGGATACCATCGTGGTCGTGGCTGGGAACAAGCTACGCCTGGACGTCCCTATTTCTGGGGACCCTGCTCCCACTGTGATCTGGCAGAAGACAATCACACAGGTACTGTGAATCATTCCTCCACTTCCCCATGGAAAACGGGTGGTTGGGACCAATGAGCATTAGGACCTACTCCCCACCCCACATGGGCACACCCTGCAGTTGGCCACTGACTGGGAGTGCAGAGGCTCAGCTGGCAAGGAGGTGGGCAAAGCAGGCAGACGCGGGGGCAGGCAAAGGAAAGACAGGGGGGCAACTGGGCAGGGATTCTCTCCAGGCTGAGTCAGTCCCCTTTCCCCTCCTTCCTTCTTGCTGTGTTCCCAGGGGAAAAAGGTTCCTGCCGGACCAGCCCTAGATGCCCCGGGGGATGCAGGTGCCAGTGAGGAGTGGGTGTTTGACAAGAAGGTAAGTGAGGCTGAAGGTGGGGTGAGGCTCTATCTACCCTTGGGCAAGGCCTCTGTGAAGGTGCCACATCTGGCCAGTTGTGCTGCTGCCCCAGGCAGGGTCTCCAGGAAGCGACCCTCCTGATAAGCCACAACTTGGCTCCCATCCTCCTGAGCCGGCTGTTACTTCATGCTTCCTCCCAACTAGGGGGTGGGTTTCCCTGGCACTTTTTAGTGTGAATAGCTGCTGGAGGGCCACTCAGATCAGCTTTTCCTCCTCCCTGCCCTGTTCTATCCAGCCGAAGTCTTTGTGGAATCCTCACAGTAGCTCTGTGAGGTTATGTTATTCCCATTTGGTGGATAAAGAAACTGAGGCACGGAGAGGCTAAATGATTGCCTAAAATTCCATGACAAAGGTAGAGCTAGAGCCTGAGACCCTTGCTCTGGCGCTTCGCCCATGGCAGGTGTTCAGGAAAGGTTTTGGGACAAGGTGCTCACGTGGATGCAGGTTCCATTCAGGCTTGCCGTCCCTGTGAACCCTGAGCTGAGCTCCTTTCCCAGTTCAGAATGGTTGGCCATTCCAGAGGCTACAGAAGCCTCTGGAGTCCAACTTGGGCCCTTTCTCTCACCCTGCCCCCGCTTCCAGCTGCTGTGTGAGACCGAGGGTCGGGTCCGAGTGGAGACCACCAAGGACCGCAGCATCTTCACGGTTGAGGGGGCAGAGAAGGAAGACGAGGGCGTCTACACCGTCACGGTGAAGAACCCTGTGGGCGAGGACCAGGTCAACCTGACAGTCAAGGTCATCGGTGAGGCTGGCTAGCCAGGGTCCAGTAGGGGAAGACAGAGGGACAACCAGGGAGGGCCCATACATTTACTCATTTGGTCACTCAGCGAACATCAAGGGGCACATTCTCAGGTCCATAGAGAGAATTGGGACTAGGACATGGGTGAATATAAATGGGGGGGAGCCATAAAAGGTTGATCAGAACTGCATTCTAGAAAGATCTCTTTGACTCTGGGGGTTGGGGGTGAGCCTATAGCCTTTGGTTGGGGTGGTGAGGGGATGAGCAACTTTGGCCCTGGGCCTGGTCTGGGTTGATGTGGGTCCACTCCCTTTAGATGTGCCAGACGCCCCTGCAGCCCCCAAGATCAGTAACGTGGGCGAGGACTCCTGCACGGTGCAGTGGGAGCCGCCTGCCTATGACGGCGGGCAGCCAGTCCTGGGTGAGTGGAGGGCACCCGGGTAGAGCCGAGGGCAGACGGTGTGGGGGTGTCTGAGCCCCAGACCAGAGCTTTAGCTTCCTTTGCTCAGGCTACATCCTGGAGCGCAAGAAGAAGAAGAGCTACCGGTGGATGCGGCTGAACTTCGACCTGCTGCGGGAGCTGAGACACGAGGCGAGGCGCATGATTGAGGGCGTGGTTTATGAGATGCGCGTCTACGCAGTCAACGCCATCGGCATGTCCAGGCCCAGCCCCGCCTCCCAGCCCTTCATGCCTGTGGGTAAGCCTGCCCGGCCTGGCACTGACCCCTGCCATCTCTGGTGAAGGGACCCAATAATAGCAGCTGCTTTGTGTGGGCGGCCACCACCCTAGGCATTTACATCCCTGGTCTTTAATCAACAGCCAGGGGTAATCCTCTTCATGTCACAGAAGAAGAAAGTGAGGTTCACAGAAATTAAATGACTTGCTCAAGGTCACCCAGCTGGTAGAGGGTGGAGTTGAGACTCACACCACTTTCACCCTTGGTTCATCTCTTGAGCCATGTTATAGTTTCACATCTATAACATGGGAGTAATGACAGTACTTACTTTATAGAACTGTTGTTAGGATGGAATGAGATGGTGCAGGCAGAGCAGCTGGCATACAGTAGGTGTTCGATAAATATTAATCGTTCCCTGCTCCCCACTCCTTTCAACCAGGATTTGTCATATATGGGATAAGGTAAGGGCAGTAGGTGCCTGAGGGACAGGGGGACATCTGTCTGTGGAAAGGGCCCTGGCCCAGGAGCTGGAGCTCGGTTTGCAGGGCCAGCTCCATTATCTCCGAGAGGGCCATCCGGAGTCATTGTCTCCCCCTGAAGCGTCAGGTCCCTCATCTGTATAATGAGGGTAGAGAAGGTAGAAAAGACGCTGAGGGTGTGGCAGGCTCTTGAGGACACCTGTCCCTATTAGGATATGTGAGCCTTCAGGGGCAGCTGTCTGAGGGAGGGGGCACGGCTTGGGGAGATGGCAGGAAGCGGGTGCCTGTGGGAAGAAGAGTCCAGGCCTCTCTCTTTAGGGGCTGACTTCCCGTTTGCTCAGCTCTTAGTCAACTCACCTAATCATACAGTGCTGTGAAACTCCCATGTTTCAGACTCGTTTTCCCTTGAATTACATTAGAGCATTTCCTATGGTATCTGACAGAAGTGGCTCCTTCTAAGCTCTTTGTGTTCTTTGGGTGTCTTTTCCTATTTACAGCCTTCCTTTGTAATTGTTTGTTTTTAAGCCTATCTGGAGACATGTCTTTTAATGGAGTCGACCTATTTCTTAAAATGCTTAAAAGCTAGCCAAAGAGGAAGTCTCCCTGTCTGACTCAGGCCCCTCTCTGACCTCTCTGCCCAGGGCCCCCCAGTGAGCCCACCCACCTGGCAGTGGAGGATGTCTCTGATACCACTGTCTCCCTCAAGTGGCGGCCCCCGGAGCGTGAGGGAGCCGGAGGCCTGGACGGCTACAGTATGGAGTACTGCCAAGAGGGCTGTGAGTGTCCCCTGCCCAGCCCTGGGCCCGCAGCCACCACCCTTCTCCAAAGCAGCCCTCAGGCCAGGCACCTGTCGTCACCCTGCAGGGCCCTATCTGCAGTGGAGGCCCCAGATAGCCACCAGAGGGTGGGCAGTGGGGTGGAGGGGTGTCGATGTTGACACTGCCCACGGTCTTGCCTCCCCATCCCACCCTCAGGCTCAGAGTGGGTGCCTGCCCTGCAGGGGCTGACAGAGCGCACATCCATACTGGTCAAGGACTTGCCCACTGGGGCCCGGCTGCTCTTCCGGGTGCGGGCGCACAATGTGGCAGGGCCTGGAGCCCCTGTCACCACCAAGGAGCCCGTGACGGTGCAGGAGATACTGCGTGAGTGCCCCCTGTGCAGTCGCAAAACCTGCCACTGATACCCTGACCCTTGGTGCCAGCGGACGTTGGGACAGTCCGGGAGACCCTACTAGAGGGAGAGCTAAACGCTGGGCAGGAGGGTTTGGAGCCCTTCCCCATGCCCAGGCCCAGGGCAAACCTGTACGGAAAGTGTCCTCTTGGTTTTCCACGCCCACCTGTTTGGAACAGGAGAATGTAGGTCATATACCATCACCTCCCAGCTCTAGTCTGTGTCTCTCAGCTCCAACAGGCAAGTATTTTCCACGTGCTCAGGACTGAGCAATGAGGCCACTTGGGGTCAGATTGGCTGATCTGGGATCCACTTCCCGTTCCTTTATTCCCAACAAAGGATCAATTGTGTAAGGACTGGTTCTCCAATTGGAAAGAGGCAGCAAACTGGGGTGGAAACAGCACGGGTTATAGGATCCAAAAGCTTACATTTGTATCCTGGCCTGTGTGACCTCAAACGAATTGCTCACCCTCTCTGTCCCTGCCTTCTCTTGTATTGGTGTGATGAGG